ATATGTATGGCAAATAAGTACAAAAAAGATACTCAACACTAGAGAAATGCAAATTGCAACCACTACATAGCCATTATAATCGCAAAAAGGAAAATTGCAGAGGAGGGTACAGAGCAACTGCAACTCTTACAGTTTGCTGGTAGAAATGAAAAATGATATAGCCTCTTTAGAAAACTGCTTGACACTTTCTTATGTACTGAAACATATACCTATTATAAGGACTTGCAATCCCTTTGCAGTAACTCGAAAAAAAAAATGAAAATCTTATGTCCATAAAGGATATGTATCTGAATGTTTATAGGACTGGAAACAGCTGAAATGTCCATCAACTGGTGAATAAATAAATGAATTATGGTGCATCCATACAATGGAATCCTCCTTCAGTGTAAAAAGGAACAAACTATTAATACACACAACAATGCTGATGGACCTCAAAACTTTTATGCTAAGTGAAAGAAGCCAGACACAAAAGTCTACATACTGCATGATTCCATTTATATGACATTCTGGAAAAGGCAAAACTATGTAAACAGAAATCAGATCAGTGGTTACCAAGGGGTAAGGGTGAGGGCAGGGATTGAATACTAAGGGGGCACAAAAGGAATTGCTTGGGGTGAGGCAAATATTCTATATCTGAATTCTGGTGGTGGTGGTTAGATGACAGTATATATTAATCAAAACTCACTGAACTGTTCACTTGAGGTTAATTTTACTGTATGTAACCTATACCTCAATAAACCTAACCTTAAAAAAATCGACAAGGTGGAGAAAAAGTGTGACTATTTCTGCTTGCCACTTAGGATCAAGTGATAAAAATGATGTTCTCTATAATGTGCCAAGCTCCTAAAACAGGCAAGATGCTAGTTATCATGTACTCCTGCCTGTTACTGCCCCCTCATCTCCTCCCACTCTCCCTTTGCTCGTTAGTTGTGGAGCACACAGGCTCCCTTCCTGTCTCTCTAACTCAGGAGGATCATGGCAGCCTCAGACTCTTTGCACTAGCTGTCTCCAAGATATTTGCACAGTCGACTCCTTCTCATCACTCATGTCTTAGCGCCGAAGACAGCTCCTAGAAGAGGCTACCTTGATCACCTTCTAGAAAGAAGCTACCTGCCAACCCACCTAGCTACCGCATTATTTTGTATTATTTTTCTCCCGATAGCCCTTATCACTATTTGAAATTCTTATTTGCTTGCATGTTGTTGTCTCTCCATTAGAAGGCAAGGCTTTTGTCTGTCATTTTTACCATCTAGGGCAGTCTTTGGCACAGCAGATGCAATAAAGATTTGTTGAATGGATGTAGTCCTTGTTAAACTAGAGAAGACATCTTTTTTTTTTTGGCCACGCCACGCAGCACATGGGATGTAGGATCTTAGTTCCTCAACCAGGGATGGAACCTGTGCTCCCTGCAGTGGAAGTGTGGAGTCTTAACCACTGGACTGCCAGAGAAGTCCCTAGGGAAGGCATCTTTAAGGAATAAACTTCCTATTCAGATTCCGGAAGTATAGCCACCTAAACAAATGTTTATTATACACCATATTTTCACTAGTCCCTCCCATGATGTGAATTTCATACCATTATTCATTTGTAGTTTATTGTAAAGAACACTAGACTGAGAGTCAAGACTCCCAAATTCTAGCCTTGATCCTGCCACTAACTAAAACACTGAAAATTTGGGTCCAAAATTCCATTTCTAGAAATTTATATCAAGGAGAAAATTACAAACATATACACGTGCACCAGGAACCAGGATGCTCATCCAATGTATTCACAATAGCAAAGTTGGGAAGAAGATAATTTCACACAATGGTTTTGGCTAAATATACCCTGGTTTATCCATCAATGTCACACTGTGAATTCATTTGAAAATGATGATTATTCAGTATTCATTTTGTTACTTATTCAATAGATGTACGTGGAGTACTTGCCAATTTCAGGTACTGTTCTAGGTGCTGAGGATGTAGCAGTGAATGAAACAAAGGCCCTCTTCTCATGAATCTTGTATTTTAATGGGGAAGAAAGACAATGAAAATAAATCAACTACATAATATGATATCAGATGATAACACGTTCTATGAAGGAAGGATAATGCATAGCAAGGGGATTGGGGACATTCCCCAAGAGAATGACTGGGGCATGCCACTTGATATAGAGTGACCACAGAAGACCTCTCTGACAAGGTCACATTTGACCAGAGACCTGTATGAAGTGAGGAGGTAAGGCATGTGAATATCTGTGGAAACAGAGTTCCAGGCAAATGCAATGGGTCTAAGGCAGCAGTAGGCTTGAAAATTTCAAGGGAAAGAAATCCTGTAGCTGGAGAAGACTGAGCATGGAAAAAAATGGTAGGAAATATTATTATTGGAGAAGTAGCTAAGGACTAGATTTTGTAGTGCCTTATATAGGCCATGGTGAGCACATTAGATTTTATTATAAATGTGATGGAAAACCTTGGAGAACTTTGAATAGAGTGGTTAGATTTTTTTTTTTAATTGGGGTATAGTTGCTTTACAGTGTTGTGTAAGTTTCTGCTGTACAGTGAAGTGAATCAGCTATATGTCTACATGTATCACCTTTTTTTTGGATTTCCTTCCCATTTAGGTCACCACAGAGCATTGAGTAGAGTTCCCTGTGCTGTAGGTTCTCATTAGTTATCTATTTTACACATAGTAGTGTGTATATGTCGATCCCAATCTCCCAATTCATCCCACCCCACCTTTCCCTCCATGGTGTCCATACTTTTGTTCTCTACGTCTGTGTCTCTGCTTTGCAAATAGGTTCATCTGTACCATTTTTCTAGATTCCACATATATGCGTTATTATACGATATTTGTTCTTCTCTTTCTGACTTACTTCACTCTCTATGACAGTCTCTAGGTCCATCCACGTCTCTACAAATTACCCTGAGTAATATTGCATTCTATATATGTACCACATCTTCTTTATCCATTCATCTGTCAGTGGACATTTAGGTTGCTTCCATGTCCTGGCTATTGTAAATAGTGCTGCAATGAACAGTGGGGTGCATGTGTGTTTTTGAATTATGGTTTTCTCAGGGTATATGCCCAGGAGTGGGATTGCTGGGTCATATGGTGATTCTATTTTTAGTTTTTTAAGTAACCTCCATAGTGTTCTCCATAGTGGCTTTATCAATTTGCCTTCCCACCAACAGTGTAAGAGGGTTCCCTTTTCTCCACACCCTCTCCAGCATATACTGTTTGTAGATTTTTTTGATGATGGCCATTCTGACCAGTGTGAGGTTATACCACACTGTAGTTTTGATTTGCATTTCTCTAATAATTAGTGATGTTGAGCATCTTTTCAAGTGCTTCTTGGCCATCTGTATGTCTTCTTTGGAGAAATGTCTATTTAGGTCTTCCACCCCTTTTTTGACTGTGTTGTTCAGATCTGTCTTATATTTTAAGACAGTGTGGTAAATAGGCTAAGGAAGGACAAAAGTGGAAGCAAGGAAACTAGCCTATTTCATAAATCCAGGGGAGATTATGGTGGCATGGACTAGGACTGAGGCAGTGGAGATGGTGAAAATTAATTATATTTAGGACTTTTACTTATTCCCAAATAGAAGTAATACAAAAGGCCGGTATGGTAGTTTTGAATGGAGTACGAGAGAAAGAAGAGTAAAGGTGAACCTTTAGATTTGAGCCTTTGCAATTGAATAAAGATGTGGGATAAGAGGGTCTGAATGCAAAGGAGAGGGTGTTTCCAGGGCCTGGATAGCATCTGGGTATTATCACCTGGATGACATCCCACTAAGAACTGATAACTGAGTCCTGGGGCAATTCAAAAGATCAAATGTGCCAAATGCTGCTGAGAGTAGAATAAGATGAGTACTAAGAATGCCCACTGGAGGTCACAGTGTATGTCACATTGGTCTCAGTGAAGGGAGAAAAGCCTGATTGGGGTATGCTCAAGAGTGAACAGATTTCTTCAACAAATAAACTGATGGTGGGGGGTGGGGATTGAGGTGGAGGAAGGAAACTATAGATTAAAGGATAATTAAATGATACATCATCCAGTTACAAAGGGGTGGACGTTATCGGATCCTCAGATAATTGGTATACAAATACTGACTTGATTTTGATGATATTAAATACTTATTAATTTATTTTAAAATGAGACAATGGTTCTCTGGTTCCACAAACAAACAAAACGAGTCCTTACTTTTTAGAAATGCTTGATGAACTGAAATAATGTCTATCGGTAGATAATTGTTGAAGTTGGGCGATGAATACACTATTCTCTCTACTTTCCTGTATGTTTGGGAAGTCTCCGTAATTAGTTTAAAAAAAATCAAATAATCTTAAAGAGTTAAAGTTGAGAACGTTTATCAGAATAACAACCTTATTTTTGTAAGCGCAACATGCTCTTGGAAGATTCCCATAAATTTAGAAATGTGTAACATTTCTTACGAAAATAATCTCCAAAAGAATTAAGTGTACTTTTTTTTTTACACTTGTAATTTGTTGCCTGGAAATAGAATCTGAATTCGTAAATGAATATAAAAGTGAATAGATGGTAAAAAAAAAAAATGCAAAGTAAGAATATATTATTGATTCTCAATCATGTTCACAAGTATTTCCAGCTTACAAAATACTTAAACAGCGTATAGAGTCCAACCTCATATTTTTTAATGTTATTTTTGACAGTGGGGCTACAGTCGATATCATTTCGAAAAATATCTGCTTACTGTATTGTCTAACGTTTACGTAAGACGTATGGATGCCTCAATTTTAAGCGTTGAAAAAAAAAAGAAAAAGAAAGGAACGAGCTACCAGCTGCTGCTTTTATTGATACAAAGTACAGAAATCCTCCGCGGCTGCAAAAGCCGCAGCCGCAGCCAAATTGCCAGAAGGCGGCAGGCTGCTCGGGGTCGGTGAGGGGGTGGGGGTTGGGGAGGGGGGCGTACGCAGGCGCAATAGCAAGCCATCGGTCAGAGGCGGGCCTAGAGCCTCGGTTAAAGGACAGCTATTTCAGCCAATCAAGGGACAGCGTCAGAGGCTTCTTCCTGGAAGAGGAGGTTGGAAGTTGGGTCTCGGCGGTGGTGGAAAAGGCAGCTACCAGTGTAAACCCGGGGCTGAGGTGAGTGGGCGGCGACGGTTTGGTGCTCCGTTCAGTGGGCATTTCTTCTTCCGGACCCCGCGACTTCCTCCGGGCGGGCTGGGAATGGGGGAGGCCTGGTGCAGCGTACGCTCGCCCGCTTTCCTTTCCCGCGCCGCTCGGGGAGCGCGGCCTCCCCGCCGCTCGCTGAGCCCCGGGGTGAACCGCTCGGCGGAAGGTGCCTTCCTTGCGGCGGGCTCTGGGCTTCCTTCGAGTGGGGAGGCCGAGCCCGGCCAGAGGTTGGCAGACCTCAGTTCTAGTCTCTCGCGGCTGGTTTGCTAAAGTGGGTGGCCTCGGCGAGTCCTTTGGCCTCTCCAGCCTTACGGGATAACCAGCCTTGCTCTTCCTCCTCAGGGAGCAGTCCTGAAATCAGAAGAATTAATGGGAGGCGGGGAAGGAGGTAGATGCCAAGCCTAATCATTAGATCATCTGGAGCGGTTTTAAAAACAACATACCAGCGGCCCCATTTACAGTAGACAAAACGAGTCAAAAGTCTGGGGATGGGACCCTAGAATACCTTTCTTTTTTTGGTGAAATACCGCAGAACGGAACAAACACTAGAAGGTGGATCTTGAGTCTGATAACCGGCTATGATGCCTGGCGCTTGTTTTACTAAAAACCTCCATCACCTTTGACAAGTTTAGTCTAGAGAAGTGATAGGGAGATAAGCAGGATTTCTGTAATACGTCAGTTTCCTTTTGTACTGTTAGATGCTTCATAGTTTACTGATTTAAGGGAACTTGTACTGTGTACAAGAACCAAGGTTAAGAATTCCTGCAGTGCCATTTACTAGCCTTTTGATCTGGTTGCAGACACTTCCCCTTGGTGAGACAGACTTGGGATCCTCATCTCTAAAATGAAATTGAAAATACTACTTAACTCATAGAATTGGTTTGAAGATTAAGAGAGGATGTGAAACAATGGTACCTGTCACTTACTTGCCCTTTGGGGATTGGCAGCTAAAGTAGAGGATTACACATGGTGCTGGGAGGCACAAAACTGGGCTTCCAATCTAAAAAGGCTTGAGTGGGGTGAAACCTGGGCTGTCTGAAATTTATTTTGAAGTACCAGATCATTGCTAATTCTCTGATTTTGGTAATTATGTGGTCATAAGAGAACATTCTTATTTGGGGGATACCCACTGAAGTATTTGCGGGTGCGGAGATGAGAGACCAATAGGGCAAATGAGGGAAAATGTTAACATTTGGAGAGTCTGAGTGAAGAATATGGAATATTCTTTATACTATTCATACAGCTTTTCTATAAGTCTGAATTGATGTTTTTGGAAGTTTTAAAAAGTTGATTATAACTATTTGCAACTCGTGTGTTGTAAATAAATGAAATGGTACACAGTATTTATAACCCTCCATCCCATGCACTTTCACCCCTTTTTTCTTAATGGCTGTGTTGTGTGTATATATAGACACTTTATCCAGCCCTCATATTGATGAAATTATGGGCTGTTTCCAGCTTTTCCTGCTCTTTTCAAACAATGCTGCGTTACACATCCTTAAACACACTTTTGAGTACTTGTACCAATATTTTTGTAGGATAAATTTCTAGAAATAGAATTGTTGGGTCTCACAACATTGTTGATCAACTATACTCCAGTATAAAATAAAAATTGAAAAAAAAGAATTGTTGGGTCAAAGAATATCAGCATTAAAAGTTTTGATACTGTCAGGTCAAATTCCAAATAAACATATTCGTTTCCTTTCCTGTCAGTTGTGTCTGAGGATTCCCCATATTCTCTTGGCGGTACTGGCCTGCCACCTGAGAGTGTTATGTGGCGGCTGTCATGGTGGCTTCTGTGAGAGCTGCGGGGAATGGATGCTCTCCACCGCAGTAGGCTTCCCTGCAGGGCCAGAGGAGCTAAGAGCCTGCTTCTAAAATTGGGATGGCCACTCTGAAGAAACTGAGAGGAAGGAGAGTGTGACCTGTGCTGGAATCCAGGGCTTGCCACATAGAAGGTGTTCTAACATTTGTCAGATGATGGAGTATGTGAAATCTTGATAGTCTGTTAGATGAAAAGAATCCTTTTTAAAATTTGCTTTTAACAGTGTGTTTGTCTGAATATTTTCCTGCCTTTATTCAGCTTTTGCATTTTTCTCATCATCTTTTGCCTATTTTTCTATTATTTTTTAAAAAATATATAGGTTTAAAAAAAAACTCTTTCAGTGGATCTTTATTGAGGATTTAGCACCTTCTAGGCATTGTTTAAGGTGCTGGAGGTAGAGTTGTGAGTAAGACAGGCAACTGCTGAAGTCATAGTGCTTTTCTTGTGGGGATGGAATCAGAAAATATGTTTTTAAAAAATCAAAATTAAATTTCTAATATTTGCCCTTGTTAGCTTGCAGGCATTCTTCTCCCAGAAAAATGGGATTGTCTTTTAATTTTGCTTATGATATATTTTCCTATATGGAATTTTTAGATTTATCTTTGGTAGTCAGATCTGTTGGTCTTTTGTAGTAACCTTAAAACATGTAGTTAGCTATTTGTCTGTTTTCCTTTATAGATTGTAAGCAACGCAAGGATGGAGGCCATGTTTATCCTTGAAAGATAGTATGATGTAGTGTTTGAGATCTTTAGGCTCTGGCTCCTTCCTTTACTCTGTGACTTTACGCAAGTGGATCAACTTTTGTGAGCCACGGTGATGGTGATCTCATCTCTGAAATGGAAAGAGCACCTTTCTTTTCTCAGATTTCTCGCAACCATGAGAAAAGTATTTAGCACAGTGTCTGGCACATACTATGTACTCAAGTGTTATCTGCCATTATAATCATCATTGCCATATATTAGACAAACAGTAAATATTTGAAAGAGTAAATAAACATTAAAGATGTTTATACCTACTTCCAAATTCCCATTGATTTGAAGCCTTCTTGAAATGAATGGAGCTACCAACAAATACTAGAAGACAATATGCTAGGATATAAGGGAGAAGGAATGTGGTATGAGAATTAGGCTGGCTATTAGATAGAAGAACTGTAGTGAAATCAAAAAGATCCCTGGGAAGCCATTGTATTCCAGGTAAGAGGGAATGGTGTCTTGATCAGAACTGATGAACTTGAGATAGTGAGATAGCGAAGTTTTGGGACTTGATAAATTTGGCAATGATGGTGAGGAGAGGAGATTGGTAAAAAAGGAGAATTAAGATAACCGTTAGGTTTCTGGCTTGAAATACTAGGTGGATAATGGGGACATTTTACTGAAACAGGAAAGAGTAGAAGCTATGAGAGGAACAGGTTTAGGGTATGTGTATTTATGGTAGATGGACTCAAAAGAACTTTCTTTTTTTTTTTAAGTTTGAATGCCCTGTGAGACATCCAGGAGCAGCCCAGACGCAGTCTGGACTGGAGATAAAAAGTCAAGAGTCAAGAAAAGAAAGACAAATACTATATCACTTATATGTGGAATCTAAAAATAATACAAACGAATCTATGTACAAAACAGACTCACAGACAGAAAACAAACTTATGGTTGCCAAAGGGGAGAGGGAGAGAGAGAGGGGCAAATTAGGAGTATGGGATTAACGGACAAACTACTATACATAAAATAGGTAAGCAACAAGGATTTACTGTATAGCACAGGGAATTATATTCAATATCTTGTAATAACCTATAATGGAATATAATCTGAAAAAAATAACTGAATCACTTTTCTGTACACCTGAAACTAACACAATATTGTAAATCAAGTATACTTAAATTAAAAAAAAAAGTCAAGAGTCATAAATATAGACCAGGGTTTCTCCACTTTGGCACAATCTGTTGACATTTTGGGCTGGATAATTCTTTGTTGCTGTGCATTGTATGTTTATAGCATCCCCAGCCTTTACTCATTAGAAGCCAGTAGCACCCCCTCCCTGGTTGTGGCAACTAAAGGTGTCTCCAGACCTTGCATATATCTTCTGGTTGGCAAAATGACACCTGGTTGAGAACCACGGATAGAAATGGTATTAAAAGCTATGGAATTGACTGAGATCATCCCAGGGAGAACATAAAACAGAGGCCTAAAACTAGTGGCCAGCAGACCACAAAGATTGTTGGAGATAAATATTTTTTGACCTCACAGTATTTGACAATTTCTGCAATTAATTGCCAGTATTTTTAAAAATTGAGAAATTTCACATAAAAATCTGGATTTTTTTTGCCCTTGAAAAGTCAAGACAACGGAACAATGAATCTTCATTCGCACATGAATGCTAGTAGCTGGAGGCTTTGAGGTCTGGCTTGGAGATGCTCAGTTCTCCTTCGCTCTTTATGTTGCCTGCCTTTTCCCTTTGGGTTTTGAGTTTGTGAGTCTTTGAGGCATGCCAGCATTAAAATTTGGCTAGAGAAGGAGGGGCAGTAAAGGAGACTGAGGGGCAGCGGCCAGTGTGGTAGGAGGAAGACGTAAATGTAGCATCACAGAAGCTGAGGGAGAAGGGGAGTGTGTTGAAAAGGAAGAAAATGCTGCTGAGAGATTAAGATCAGCTTAGAAAAATGTCCATTGGATTTGGTCACGTGGTGGTTGTTGATGGCCGTGATGAGCAGTTTTTGTGGAGGTAGGAGGTTGACGCCAGATCGGATAGTGACAAAAATGAATATGCAGAAGGCTAGTAAAGCAGTGAAGTGTGGGTTGATAGAGTAACTCATCATGCCCATGGCCACTGACAGACTGATTCTCAGCAGCAGCCAGTTCACTGCTGTGGGTTGGTGGAAGCTCAGGGCTGTCCCACAGCTGCCCTTATTACCTCACAAATTCCAAGTATAAAACTGCCTCCAGTATATTACTTGCTATCTCTCATGTTGGATGGTGTTATGTTATATCTTGAAAATCTGGTAAGATCCATCTAAGTGAGCACTCGGGATATTCTCATTTTATGATATACCTAAGCTTCAAATGGAGTAGATGGAGGTTATTGTGGCTATTGAAGGTATAGTTGAATTTGAAATTTCTGTAGTAGATGTAGAAAAGTTAATGAGTCTATAAAAAATTGTAGAGTATATTGTAGGAAAAAAGGGAATGGAATTGGATCACAGAAGCTCAGATGATGTGAGTTTGTCTGGAATATAGTAATTTTAATTTTGTCAGAGTGTTCCTTAGTTATAAGTGTTTGCTGTTGGAGATCAATCTATAATATAAAACGAGTGATTGTAACGTGAGATGGGAAGACAGCATGTGTAGTTTGGCTGTAGGGAGGGTAGAGAAGTGAGGCATAACTGGTGAGGGGTGTGGAATCCAGATGATTTAATTTATAGATGAAAATACAGTTGATCCTTGAACAACTGGGAGGTTAGGGGCGCCCACCCTCTGTGCAGTTGAAAATCCGAGTATAACTAAGAGTTGAACTTTCGTATCTGCAGTTCCTTCATATTTGCGGTTCTGCATCTGAGGGTTCAACAAACCATGGATCTTGTAGTACTCTAGTATTTACTATTGAAAAAAATCCACATGTAAGTGGACCCGTGCAAGTTCAAACCTGTGTTGCTCAGGGGTCAAGTGTATACTACAGTATATTTTTTGTGCCAATGAAAGTATTAAGTAGAGCAGGAAAAATACGATGATTGAGTATATATTGCTAATTAGAAACGGATGCAGCCTTTCCCTGTTGTAAATGTTAGTTTTAGAGACCAGGGAGATCATTTTGTCCTGGGTGCCAAACTGCCAGGGGAGAAAAAGTAAAATGTTCTGTCATTAGTCGCTGAATGTGACAGGTTTGTTTTGTAGCTCCACTCTCAATCTTTGGTCTATTTCTGTGTGTTTGTGTGATTTTTTTTTTTTTCTTATTTTTTGTCTGATGGTCCATTTCTGTAGGTTCTTGATCTTCCACAATGGGTGAGCCACAGCAAGTGAGCGCCCTCCCACCCCCTCCGATGCAGTACATCAAGGAGTATACAGATGAAAATATTCAGGAAGGCCTCGCTCCCAAGCCTCCACCTCCAATAAAGGACAGTTATATGATGTTCGGCAACCAGTTCCAGTGTGATGATCTTATCATCCGCCCTTTAGAAAGTCAGGGTATCGAACGGCTTCATCCTATGCAGTTTGATCACAAGAAAGAACTGAGAAAACTCAATATGTCTATCCTTATTAATTTCTTAGACCTCTTAGATATCTTGATAAGGAGCCCTGGGAGTATAAAACGAGAAGAGAAGCTAGAAGATCTTAAGCTGCTTTTTGTACATGTGCATCATCTCATAAATGAATACCGACCCCACCAAGCAAGAGAGACCTTGAGAGTCATGATGGAGGTGCAGAAACGTCAACGCCTTGAGACAGCTGAGAGATTTCAGAAGCATCTGGAACGAGTCATTGAGATGATTCAGAATTGCTTGGCTTCTTTGCCTGATGATTTGCCCCATTCGGAAGCAGGGCTGAGAGTAAAAACTGAACCAATGGATGCTGATGATAGCAACAATTGTGCTGGACAGGATGAACAACAAAGAGAAAATTCAGGTCATAGGAGAGATCAGATTATAGAGAAAGATGCTGCTTTGTGTGTCCTAATTGACGAAATGAATGAGAGACCGTGAAGGATGTTTCTTTTTCTTCTTTTTTTTTTTGTTTCAGTAAATAGCATATATATTAGTTAATTCACTTTTAGAGCACCTCAAAAGAGAGAGCACTAGAAGTCTTGCAAGCAGCTTGACTCTCCAACTTTCTCAATTGTTAGACGTCACAGGCAGTTTATGTCATTTCACTTTATGGCAAGCCTAGGTAAATAAGTACGCCTACATTAAGAGTAATCACCTTAATAAAAGCAGTGTTTGCCTCTATTGTGTGGAACCTCCCTGTTTTCGGAGTTGCAGTAAACTTTGAAGATATCCTCAGTAATAGTAGGTTTTCATCCCTGAAAAGTAGATTTGTCATTGCTTTAAGAATGATAGATAATAAAGGATATCAAACTTTATAAATATGAAATTATGAAATCCTTAGATTTATTTCACTTAAAAATTTGGTTAATCTCTAAAAAAGAATAGTGTAACATGTTAAAAGAGAGGAACCCTGGAGAGTTATAAAACAGCAGTTTATTTTTCCTCTGGGCTGCTCCTGCAACAGTCTGTCTCAGCCTTTTGTCCCTATCCTGGATGGGTCCCAGAGCTTTTTTACAGTCACTAAGAAGTCCTTTGATCACTTTTAGTCACATTCATTTTAATAATTAAAATGTCTGTGTAATTACCTATACATTTCCTAAACTCAGACTTGCTTAAGGCTGGAAGCCTTCCCTGGGAAGGGACTTTGGTGGCAGAGACTGCTGGATGTCCACCAGAGATTCTTGCTCGCCTGAGATATGCTGCCCTGCTAGGGACTATGTTCCCCCCATTCCTCTTGCATCTCTGTGAGGCCATGTAACTGAGTTCTTACCAGTGGAATGTGGTGTAAAAATCCAGGCCTGCCCCATAAAAATTTCTCTTCTTTTCTGCTGGTTTGATGGTCACACCCAGGAAAACTTTGGAAGCCACTTGAAGATGGCAAAAGTTCAATCATTTCGGGTCCTTGAAAGCCTGAAGACTAGGCCCTCCTTTCATTAACTCCACCCTCTCCCAGTCCCCATCCCCACCCCCACTGATGTGACTTCACCACGTGAATAAGAAGTCAACCTGTTTTGAGCACTGAGATTTCATTTCTGCACCTTCTCTTTTCTGTTCTCCAGCCTCTCTTGCGGCAAAATCTTGATGGACGAGTCTGCCTTGTATCTGAGGGTGGCTGCCAGCCTTTCTCTTAATAAAGGCCAGTGGTTCTCAAAGCGTAGTCCTGGACCAGCAGCATTGGTATCACTTGGGGACTGGTTAGAACTGCAAATTCTCAGGTGCACCCCAGACATCTTAAATCGAACTCTAGGGGTGGGGCTCAACAAACTGTGGTTTAAAGAGCCCTCAGGTGATTCCCATGCAGGCTCAAGATTGAGAATCACTGATAATGGTAAGGCCTTTTGCCAGATAAGCTGGCAAAGTCCAGTTTAAAGTGGCCACACGCCAGTTCTATATGTGAAACATTCATGCATCCTTATCTTTAAAAATCTGGGGAGTGTAGGCTGTTTCCAAGTAGACAGCCCCTCTGTTAGGCACTTAGTTGGCAAGTCTCATTTGTTTTTTCCTGATATGTGTTTGGTATAGAGTTTTGGACTCCAGAGACTTCAGGAGACACAGTCCAGGCTCTCTCGAGCTTAAATTAAAGGGGGAGGGGAACCCCCTCATCTCCCGGTGGCGGGGCAAGGTAGACATTGCTCAACACTTGAGCGACTCCCCAAAGGAATCTCCTTTGTAAAGGAGACCTCAATCTTTTTACAACCTTGAGGAGGGTGCTGGGCTAAGAGGTACAAAACCAATTTTTGGCTGCCTTACAATTCGTTGCATGGAAAAAACTAACTGAATCACATTATCACATCCTTAAGAGAGTCACGACATCATTTGTATATAATGTGTGTTTGTTGGAGAGAAGGATTAAGAGATTAAAACTTCACGTGGAATCTTAAATTCTGATCTTGGGAGGACCCGATCTTGTAGGTCTGTGGGTGGGACCTGGCATAAACTCTAAAGAATTCTGACGTGAACTCCTGGTATTATAATGGGTTGAAGGAGCACTAGTGGTCTGATAGTTGTTACAAATTTCAAAGTTTATATAGAGATTCAGTCTATGAGGATGAAAATACATCTCCGCACACCTGGTCATAATGAATATTCCTGATAGATTGATTCCTCAAAGTGAAATATCTGGAAGAATAACCTGGGCAACTCTTGAGATTACCAATGCCTGGGCCCCAGACCACCAGGATTCTGGTTTCATTGTTCTGGACTGGGGCCCTGGTATTGGTTTTAAGAAATCTGTAGATGGCTCTACTGTGCAGTAGGATAAAGGAGGATTACATTAGTCAGTACTCTCTATTGAACTAGTTTAAGCAAAAGATGAATTTGTTGAAAGGATACTGTGTTACATAAGTTAAACATCCAAACCACGAAGGACTGGGAGGGTCTCTAGGGCAACTGGGACTCAAACCTGATCCAGAACCCTCTGTCTCTCCTTTCTGGCTTTTCTGTTAGCTTCATTCTCTACAAACCAAATTCTTTGATGGTATGGGTGCAGAACATGGCTGCTAACGATTCCCAAGTGTTAGGTCTTTCTATACCACTCTCTGGGAGTTGTCTCTCAAAAAGGAAAAAAAAAAAAAAAAAAAGGTGAAAGGCTAATTAACCAGTTCGGAGGGAGGAGTTAGGGGTGGCACACCTGATTCCAACTGGGCCATTCAGCTGGGGGCAGATTCTGTAAGAATCTGACAGACCCCAGCATGTCAGTGTGTGGGGGGAGGAGGTCCACCCCTCCCTTTAAGTTCATTTATTCCTTGCATTCATTTAGTGGATATTGTGTTCCTCTCTATTCCTGATACTGGTTTAGTTGCTGGGGGTATGAGGAGTGGGAAGGAAAATGGAAGAAAGATAAACAGGAAAACAAATAGGTTAATTTTTGAAGGTATAAGTTCTTGCTTTAACCATTCAGCCATTATAACAGAAGAATCTTGCTTCCAATTATATTCCTATTTCCTGCTCAAAATGCCTTGTCCACATTATCTTCTCTTTTCAAGTTATGTTTCTATGTTCACAGTTGTTAAGGGTGTTGGAAGGCCATTTCAACTGTGCTGTGTTGTATCTGAGAGAAAAGACGTGTCCTGGGTCCTGAGGTCACAGGAAACAGCAAGTGCAAGTGCCTCATGAGACAACTAGAAGTTGGCATGGTTTGGGAGAAAAGGCTATTATGGCCGCAGCATAGGGAGGGAGGAGGTTGGAGCTAGAGAAGCAGATGGAGGTCAGGTTACAGGACTTAGAAGGCCAAGGGAAGGAGTTTGTTATATCCTAAATCTGACGGGAAGTGTTGGAGAGAGAGAAATTTCCCCCTCCACCCCTCTCGAGTTCTTGTGGTTGGACTAATAATAAAATTGACGCAAGACAAATTAACAGGAGAAGAGACATTTTAATTCTTATACAGGGAGGTCTCATAGAAATGGGACCTAAGAAGTAGCCAAAACATATATACTCTTCAGACAAACACTGAATTTCTGAGGAATTGACAGGACAAAGAAACTTAGGTTTTGGGTGCTCAATTAGTGAAGAATCTAAACGATTTGGGCTTGGGGTAGTAAATTAAAGAAGTAACAAGGTTTGTATAGGCTTCTTGGCTGAAATTCCTTCTCCCAGGCAATAAGGGTGTCCTTTTACCTTTACTGCAGGGAGTGCACCTTTCATGGGAGAGGTTTATTTTTTGCTTTGGGGGAAACAGAAAGTGGGGGTCAGAGTGTCCCTCTTGCATTGGCCATTTCTTAGTTCAGTATGCCGTCGTAGCATATTTTGGGGCAGCCTGCTAGCACTTTGTTGGCACTGTTCTAATCACTTTATGTACAAAAAGCCATTTTTATCCTCAAAACAACCCATTGAAATCATTATGATTCTTACACCTATGTTACAGATGAGGAAGCAGAGGCTCAGAGAGGTGTCATTTACCCAAGGTCACCAAGCTAGTGAGTGGCAAAGCCTGGATTGAAACATTCTAGTTTCAAAGACTAAGCACTCAACCTTCATACTCTGTCACCTCTCTACTGCATCATATAGTTAATAAATCATAGGTAATAAGTAATGGAGTTGAGTGGAATCTGATATTTTGACCCTAAAATCCATACTCTTTTTTTTTTTTTTGCGGTACGCGGGCCTCTCACTGTTGTGGCCTCTCCCGTTGCAGAGCACAGGCTCCGGATGCGCAGGCTCAGCGGCCATGGCTCACGGGCCCAGCAGCTCTGCGGTACGTGGGATCTTCCCGGACCGGGGCACAAACCCGTGTCCCCTGCATCGGCAGGTGGACTCTCAACCACTGCACCACGAGGGAAACCCCTAAAATCCATACTCTTATACACTACATGATACTGGACTGAGGAAGGAGATTTGTAGACAAAGATTATGAGCTCCCTTTGAACATTTTAAAGCATTTTTGTCAGAATTCTGCTGCTATCTTAAGGAGATGCTGTGTGTATAGCACTAAACTTCCTAAAACTCCCTCTTAGTAGATATCACCGCCACTTTATGAAAGTGGGGGTCAGTTTTGTGGTTTGCTCAGGTGGTGTTTCCAGATTAGAATCCAGGTCAGGAGTCAACAAACTTTTTCTGTAAAGAGCCAGTTAGTAAATATTTTAGGCATTATAAGTACTCTTTTATATGGTACAAAGGCAGCCATAGAAAATATGTAAACAAATGAGCACGGCTGTGTTCCAGCTTTAGATATGGACACTGAAACCTGAATTTAAATAATTTTCATGCTATGAAATATTATTATTTTGATTTTTTTCCCAATCATTTAAACATGTTAAAATAATTCTTAGCCTGTGGACTGTACCAAAAACAGGCAGCCAAATGAATTCGGCCAGAGGTTCTAATCTAGGTGATTGGCTTCTAAACCCTGGAGTGTTTTCACAAAACCACTTAATAACCACAAAACAAAAATTATAGGTTTGTTCTAGGGCCTAAGTGAGATTATGGCTACAAAGCACTAAGCCTAATTTCTGGTAGTTAGTAAGCTTTCAAAGGTTAACTGGTACCTTCCCTGCTAAGTCTTTTGCATTTGGCATTTAGAATCAAAGATTTAGGAACTGGTTTCAAACTGTAATGTGATGAGTCTAACAGTAAGTGGCAGTCTTACCTCAAGTTTAGAAGCTGCAGCCAGGTGGCAGAGGAGGAGATTAAGGTGGAGAAACTCACAGGTGCTGCTTGTAATACTGAGCTTTTTATTCAACAAGTGAGACTTGCTGCTTGTGTCTGACTGTGGCCTACAAACTCTTTTCTGATGGAGAGAATAGGGTGTAAATTTGTCAAAATAACCAGTACTGTGTTGCAAATAAGAGATTTTTGGTTAGAGCTTTTCTCCCAGGACTGCCTGGACAA